TCTCAGGGACGTTATCGCGACTCCGAGAACGAGAGAGCGAGCGGACAAACGTAGCAGCCATTACCCGCAGCTGGTGCAGCCAGCGGATCCCCATGACGAACTACTTCAGCGTGAATTTCATATTTCGAAAAATATCACCAGGTACTCCAACGCAACCCCTTGTATCGGTACCATACTTTGCCTCTCTATAGATATATGCTATATCTGTATATACCATAGAGAGTATTTCTCTAGCGACGCCAGTGGTTCCTGGCAATACCCGGGACATTATTTTCGAAACGGGTGAAAACGTAGATGCCTATATACTATACGGCGCTCGAGTGAAATTCGAAAGCTACGAAATTTCGTAACGCGAGGGAAACACCACTGAGAGCGCAGATGTACTACGGACGCTGTTTAATATTGGAGCCGCACATGTTTCGCTAGGAGACACATTTCACTAATATTGCCGTTCGCTCGTTTTCGTACGCCTGCGCGATTTTCAGTCACACACGCCTTACATATCTCCTGGAGTATTAATATATTCAGCATGTATGAATATTACACGGTGAGGTACGAGGAGATATGCTGGATGTATATACAAGTATATAGGTAAGAGGGGGTTGAAAGAGGCCGAGAGAATCCTCATGCGCGTACATTGGCTAAACCATTGTGCCTATCTCGGTGAGAGCTCAGCTTCATGAAATCTGTGGCTTTCATTGTTCAGCGACAGAGCTTTGTGCTTTGTGCCTCGCGCAACTCCGGAACTACTCCCGTGCTTTTGAATAAGGAACTAATGAATACCTGCACCGCGACGCGTTATATCAACGTATCGTGTTATCGACTGCGACTGCCACCCCCCTATTTTACTCTCTCGTTTCTTCCACAGTCCTAGACGATTCTATATAACCCGATATACATATATAGCACATACGTATACATCACTCTCTTGAATTTCTGTCCAATCTATTCCTGGTCTCTCTGTTGCCTCTTGTTAACCCCTTGTGAACTACCTTGATCGTAACCTCTATCCCCTTAACTTTGACACTGACGAACGTCTCATGGCACCTGAAAATCGTGCCCTACAAAATCGACGATCCGTCACTGTTCGAGGAACTACTGTCCGTGCGCATGAATTATAGTCCTTGGTAGGAAGGCGCAGCGTGATTCGCGACTGCCGGTTCGATACCTCTGGGTTTTTAGTAGTATATATGTAGGTAGTACCAGTTACCCGCAATAACTGCCACTATCTGTAATGTATTCTGTTTCGAGTGTCAGGACTGAGGTAGACAAAGATATAAATATAAGTTTATTAGTGCTTTGGTTTTTTGATATTGCTTAACGAAGAATTTTGGAAAACTTATTTCCTGAAGGGGATGCTCGTTAACGCCATTCTTTCATGTTACGGCACGTTGGATATACGAAGACTCTCTCATTTGAGGGCGCGATGGTTCGAGAGAGAGGTGTTTTCTGCCTCCATGGGAACCAATTACACTCCCTTTCTGGGGGCCGTAGAGGCAGAAGCCGCCCCTAGCGATGGTCGTGCGCGAATGTGTATATATATGAAGGGGGTTTTCGTGCGTGGATACACGCGTGATACGGAGTCTGAGCGTGTGTCCGGTTCCTCGGTATAGAGAGAAAAGAGTGTGTGTGAGAGAGAGAGAGAGAGAGAGAGAGAGAGAGAGAGAGAGAGAGAGAGGATCGCAAGAATGGAAGGGAGAGTCAGAGAGTACGAGAGAACGAGAAATAGTGAGTAAGAGGACAAGAGACAGAGGGAGAACGAGAAAGAGAAAGAGAGAGAGAGAGAGAGAGAGAGAGAGAGAAGATGGGATGGAGCAAAGGCCCCCGGTGATGGATCGTCCAATCAGTGCCGCGAGATGGAGCACGGGAGAGAGTGCCTACCTATAGGTTGCTACGGGATCAGCGAGGAGAGGAGAGGAGAGGTCATGGTCGGGTCACTCTCCTGCTAATCGAAGAACACGAGGTGGCCCTGGCTACGAAAGAAACTCTTCTCCTCCTCTGCGATTCTCAAGGATCTATTGTGTAACTTAGATATTAAACCGTTTCGCAGCAAGGTCCTTCTCCTACAGTTAGAGAGAAGTAAGTCTCTTTGTGGCAGCTGGAATCTATTTTCAGTTGGGATTCTATCTCGAATTCTCTCCGTCCCTTTTGATTCGCTCTTTTATATCTCATTTTCTTATACCGATCTCACTCTATCTCCGTCTCTCTCTCTCTCTCTCTCTCTCTCTCTTTTTCTCTTTCGTCGCGATGACGCGAGCCATTTTCAACCCTTGTTCGTTCGAGGATTCCGGCGCCGTGGTGAATTACTGATATTGGCAATTCGAAGACAGCGGCTGGAAACCGCCGCTCGGGGATCCCGACGTCCGATGAATTATTCGTTTTACGTAGGTGGAAAGGACGCCGGAAACTCATGGAAACCCGGTACGTCTATCTATACCTATTCTATACCTATTCTACCTAGCTGCTACCCGCTACCGACACGTCCCTGTACGTAGGTGGTAACGCTACTGCCTTTACTCTGCGGAACGAAGCAGAATTGCGGTTGAGAGGGTTGAACCGAGGGTCGCGAGCCGCGAGGCTGAACATCGCTCAACCGCCGCACAATACCGAAGGGGTAGACCCGCGGTATAGAGAGACTATGGAAGTAGCGCCGGTATATCTGAACGTGGAACACCGTACTGCAGGAGAAACCAGTAGCGTAACGTTGGGATGCGTAATTGTAGGTAAGAACTACTGTAATCTTGCAATTAGGGACCATTACAAGTTCATACTAGACTCCATGCGGTCTGGTGCTATCACGTTATAAATATAAATGATCTATGAGAATAGAAGAACAGGTGCACTGTTTATGCCTAACAGACTTAATGTAGGATACAGTATATACATATAATAGTTTCTTTAAATTCGACCAGACAATTAGAAATTTGTAAAATTAAAAAATTTTAATTTTGTTAATTTAAAAATAAAAATAAAAATCTGAATTAAAAAATAAAAGATAAAAGTTGATATGATCCTAGGGTTATCGGTGACTGGTTACGCCAATGGCTGAAGCTGCGGAGAGAGAAGAGAGCAGCTAACAATGGCCGCCAACCAAAACATCCGATAAATCTAACCGGGCCCGGACCTCAAGCCCCGAGGGGTTTTAAACTCTCTCACCCCTAACGCCGACGCAAACGCAACCCTTACATTACACTACACTCACGAAAAGGGATCCGTACCGTTGGCACACGGGGGGGCTGGACTGATGTGCGAGCCACGAAAAACCAAACCAACAAAATTCCAATGCGACTCGAACTAACCCGTCCAGACTTTTACTTCCCGTCAGTCTACCTAACTGTGTTATGAAAATCGTAAAAACTCTAAGATATAGTATATTCACGAAATTCCGTACGACATGTAACCCCATACTATTTAACACATGCCCATAGTTATCTCTTAAAAGTTTCTATTCCGGATGTTGAGTCGCCTCAGTTTACCACAAAAAAAAGTATCCCTCTAAACTCAACTAGTACCCTACACTTTAGTCTATTTTAGCATCTTCCTCTGTCTCAAAAAAAAAGACCTTCATTACACAAGAGATCCAAGTGACTTCTGATGGGTCACGCTACAAGCTAAAGGAACGTGATTCTACGGAGTCTAGAGCTCTATATACCTATTCCTCAATGATCCATTGAAAAATCCCAAAAAGTTTATGATAATGTGTTCTTAAGCGAGATAATTTTCTGCACGACGGCATAAACAATAACGTATATGTATATTATATAAATTTACAGATAATAAAACTCCATATCGAAGGAAATTTTTCGGCCTCGTACAGATCCGCATAGAGACGCGCGCTCCTCCTCTGTGAGGATCCGAGAGCAAAGTCGCCCGGTGCAGGAGTTAGTCCGTGAGTATAACGCAGAGGTGCAGAAGCGTCGAATAAGCTATCGAAAGAGGACAGACAGGTTCGAGAGAAACCCGTGTGCTGCCATGGTTACCGTCGCATTCCCGCCTCACTGCGTTGCTATGGAGACCACGGCTTGTGCGCTAACCTCTGTCCTTCCCTCAGCGAGCACGCGAGAGAGTGAGATTCGAAGTTAGTGAGAGAATAAGAGAAAGAGAATGAGAGGGACGCTAAGGAGGGATAAAACCGGAGAACGCATGCGTGCTACAACTCGCACTCGGAGTATGCAATATCGCGTCGTGCATATTGCGCCGTGTCATGCCGCATCGCGAACACCACGTTCCGTGCCAATTCGGCACGTTTCGCCGAATGTTCCGTCACGTACTAGACAAGAGTAAGCAATACGAGAAAAATGCCATAGAAGGGAATACTCTGTACTCCATAGATCTCGGAAGGATTACCGTCCTCGAGTAATGCGCATGCGCGCAGCTCTGCGAATGGGAAACACCGATTTAGGGCGCATGCGTTTTTTGTAATTCTCTTTTTTTTTCGAATTTTATTAAAAAAAAATTATTTCAATTGAATCAGATTAATTCAGATTTCATGTCGAAATTTGCATTATATACTACCAAATGTCATGCACGAAAGTCATTATTTGATTTTGAAAATTTTGTATTTAAATTATTAAAGTGCTCGAAAAACAAAATTAAGAAATGTTCATAATCAGTAATTAAGGAATTTCAAGTTAGTTGATCGTATATCTACGATCCGCGGTAAGTTTTAACAGCGCGTAAACTCCGTTTCTGATTGGCCGACGCGTCACCCGATATCAATATTTATTCAACACAGCGAATGCCTACGGGGCGATTAAAACTTGTTTATGCTATAAACGATTCGCCCCTCCCATCAGGTATTTACGCTATGTATAGCATATATATGCCACCATGCATGTGTGTCGTCGTCCCCCGAGAGCTTCAAGCAAAATGTACCTTTACTTTTTTTTACAAATATACACATCGTTCAAATTACATAAAATTAAACCCTATTAGTGACCTATAATTACCAGTCAACTTTAGTACAGAACATCTATAATTAATCTGACGACTGAACTTACCCGGACTGCCGAGGAAGACGGAGGAGTATAGGACGCCGCGACGCGCCGCGTCGCTCGCCGCTCTTTGCGCATCGGGAGGTGAACTCCATTCTCTACGAGGACACCATTTACCTGAAAAACATAAAAAAAAATATCGAATAAAATACAAACGACCACCATTTCTGAATGATCACAATTTTATATCTATATATGGTTACCGGAACAAAACAAAAAACACCAAAGTTGAATATCCATACAATATCCAGATTTCTGTTGACAAAATGCAAAAATCATAGCGACGAAGTATAGGATGCTGGCTACTGCGAAGTGATGCGTTGTCAACTATGACGCAACTCGTGTCAGCGTCGCTGGCGGGAGTCCGTGTCCCGGAAGGATGAAGTGGCGTGAAGGACGCGAGCCGCGGAGATCGTAAAGGTGCTAAAGCCACTAAATCAAATTCCCATGAATGTAGGCGGTACAGTAGCCGCCTTTAAAAATCTATAACAGAGTTATGACGCGGTATGTTGCGAGGCGTAACGTATCTCCGCGTGTTACTGACCTACCGCAAAACCCTTTTCATTCCATAAAACACTGGTTACCGTCTCCGGTATCGAAGTAGACGTCACTGCGAGACAACCGTCTCGCAGCAGTGATACGTACGGGTGACATAGCTAAGTCGGATGGAGAGTCCTTTGGGGAATGAGGAAAATGGAAATCGCTTACAAGGACTCGTCCAGGTAATAATTGTTAGGTGTCAGGACTTTTCAGGGAGAGATTCTATCGCGTGTCAATTAATATAACTATCTCATTCCTTTCCCCTTTTTTTCTTGCCTTACCGACCACATGTGATGTTTCCCGTATTGCCGTTGCAAGTAATTCTGGTACGAATTATTATGCAATTATGTTAATTGGATTAAACGTATAAAAAATATGTTGCAGCAAGTCTTGGCATCCGTTCGCCGATTCACGGAATTATGGGTTATTTTACGTTGGGGTGTGAGGGGGAGGAAATGAAAAATCGTCAATGGCTCATCTCATCGGTGCCTTCGAGGTTATGTATTGTTGATGAGACGGCTTTAATTAGGGATCGCATTACTCGAAAACGAAAGGCAGTCCATGCTGACTTATCGACGAGTGTATGGCTGCTGAGTGAGAGGCCCCCTGGCAGCGAAGGACGGGCAGAATGGAAGCGGCAGTCTCTTAATTATTTTTCCTTTGTTTCTTATGTCCTTTGCGCGCCCTGGCAGCCATTGGGCCGAGGGACAACCGTGACCGATTAGAATGAGTCACAATGGAGGCCTCGACCTCTTTCGAATTTCTTGGGTAGAAAACGTAAAAGCTCACACGTCGGATTCCTTTCGAATGCTAAAAAGGAATGTGACGAACGTATAGACGTAAAGCGAGACAAAGAAAACTATAAAATTGTACGCGTGACGGCCCTGCAGTGTTACTATCTTCGGTATATACGAAAACAAGAGGGGTGTCTACTTTATTTTCAGGGGTATCCTCGCTGAATGAGGATACGCAGGAAGAAAGGGTGGCACGAAGGATAGGAGTAAGCCGCGGAGCGAAGTAATTTCACACGGGAGAATAAGGGTGCTGCGGAGAGAGAGAGAGAGATCGTAGGGCGCTGTAGTCTTATCACGAGGTATAGTACAATCCCATCTAAAATTATATTTCTGAAAGGAAGAAAATTGCTTCGCTTCGGATTTCCAAAACCGGCACACCCGATATATGTATATACTGACTCCAGTAGACTTCATACTATTATACGCGTAATGTTATGAGACTTTTTAAACTCAATGAAAAAGCCTATTACGTCGCAGCACTTACGCGTCAATGAATGCGCACGTGTTTGATTAAAATCTGAATTATCCCCGCTTACTGCTATGTATTATTATACCCTTTATTTCAGGGCACGCTTTCGAAATACTATTTTAACCTTCAATTTGCGGCAAAAGCTTGAAAGGCAAACACCAAAGTATAGTAATTCTGATGTAATAGGGGTCCGGAGTTTAGGTGGGACCGTAATCATACTAATAGCAATAGTTGGCGACCTATGTGGAGGCGGCATTGCAAAGGATACTCTATTACACTATACCTAATACAAGAAGAGCCAGAAGTGGTGACGACTCTCCTTTGATATAATGGATATCAACCTTAGAGCTATATATTATGGTCTAAAGCAGGTAAGCAGGTATAACGCTTGGAAACTCTCGCTAACATCTGATTTGCAGTATAACACAAAATCTTCCTTTGTATCTATGATTTCGGTTTGGTACGGCATTAGCTTCTCCTTCAAGATGCACTAGCGAGTAAATATAATATATCAGGATTACTCAAACTCATTTACCTCTCGTGATACCCATTACGCTATTGCCTGCTGCACCGTAGCTATGCCAAAGTCCTTGGAGGTAAGGACGGTACCTGTAGAATCCTCTGAGCGAAGGAGTGAATGGGAGAGATTTATAGCCGCTTGGAGACAGGGTGTAATCATACACATCACCCCATCAACCCCTAACTCTGATTTACCGTGGGAATTTTAAAAGTCCCATTCGAATTCTTGACATAATCTATGAAATACCGTGAATTCTTCGAGGAGTTCTATTTTATATAAAAATTCGACATGCTTCCACATCCCGAAGAATTAACCGGTACGAAACACTACGAAACCATGTCTTACGTATCCTGACCTATAATTTCGTACAAGTATGCATCAGAATCTTGTTTCTCATTCGCGAATCCAGAATTATGTATACATATAACGAATGAGGTGAATATCGCTTCTGAAAGTGGCACCGAACCGCTAACTAAGTGACTGAGAGTAAGACATCTTACCAAGTGATGCCAGTGATGCCGTAGCTAAATTGAGGGTTAACTTCGGTCGAGTTCGCGTGTTTGCGACAGTCATGCCACTTAGGCGAGTCATGTTCGAGATGAAGCCGAGGCGTGGAAGCAACCGGCCGTTTCGAGATGGACGCAGAGATCGGTGAACGTACAAACTTACGGACTGGACTCGCCGCAGAGTATAGAGTGGGACGTGGAAGCGGTGAGAGAGCTGGGATACGATGACCACGTCATGTTGCCAACACAATCTCCTGGCTCCACGTGAGTCCTGCTGCTTGCTACGCGGCCGTTTATTTTTGCAGAGAGACACAGTGACAGTTATAAATTGGAATGTAATTCGGCGGGCACGCGTCTTCGGGTTTGTGCTGGCAGCTCGGTTGCACGTGAGTTTGATAGGCGGTATTCAGTGGAGGTTAGGTTAGGTTAGCCTTAGGATGTGCCTGATGAGGAGGTGGATAAGGAAATTGTTGGAGATCGAAGATAGGGGTTTTTTTTTTCAGGATAAAAGTCGTTCATCGGAATCTTGAGAAACGAGGGTGAAGGAATAATATTAAAGGGTAGTAGGTGTAGGTATATAGCTATCGGGCAAAGCGCCGATGTTATAGGTAGGTATACTTTCCCAATAACCCCATCGCACCAGGGTTGGCTCCTCGGTATAAATAAATCAATATAACCTGCTTTCACCCTTAGATGCTACCCTCTTTTGCCGTAAGGAAGTGACGTATGAGGCTCGCATCCTCCGGCTGAGGATGGTGGAGGCCACCCTGTTATTTCACAGTTAGGCTCGCCCCACCCTCACTCTCAGTGAACACCAACCCATACTCTTGCCTCTCTCTCTCTCTCTCTCTCTCTCTCTCTCTCTCTCTCTCTCTCTCTCTCTCTCTCTCTCTCTCTCATTTTCTCTTACTTCCTCTCCTAGACCCTCTAGCCATCCTACCTTCCCGGTCCCGCTTCCAGGCGCACATGAGTCCCCCGGGAAGCTTTTGTCCTCGAGCTGTAAGCGACTTCCTGACAGGCCAAGTTTGCACCTGCTCTCCTTCTGGCGTGCCACTCCTCTCCTCCTCTCCTCCTTTCTCTTCTCGGTCTCTTCTGCTTCCCTCTTTCACTTCAGCCAGCTATATCGTCTATCTATATCTACGTATAAGGCATCCCCGACACCCGCGGTTTCCTCAGCCGTCTACCTTACCAGCGCGTAATTTATTTGGGGTACTTCTACGAGAAAGGTAATCCGTAGATTAGTATAGGAGATAACTTCACCTTCCTCCTGCTCATCCGCCATACCGTCGGCTGACGTTCATCCAAATTATATCCAAATAATTCCAAAGTCTGCCATCTTGGAGCGTGTGGAATTGGCCTTTGCGAGGCGACACGTGGCTACGTAGACGACGTTAAGGGCGTCCAAGAAGACACGACGACGACAGACGACCAGGGACAAGCGTCATTTGGAAGTCAGTAACGGTACTCTCTTTTTCGAATTTAAATTATACAAGTCCACACAGTCTTTCCTATGCTTCCTCGAACTTCATTCTATGCAATCTGTCCATCGAGGAGAACCACCGACGACTCACTGAGCGTGGAACAGTAATTAATTCTAAGCGGTTCTCTTGAGATTCTCGAGCATGACTGCTTTCTCGGTCACCATATACGGGTCCGACTCCGCACCCATGCGAAATCCACCTTCGCCTTATATAACTTATCAAAGGACAATGAAAATTCAAAAAATTGTCCTACTTCTTCTTTCTTATCATCTACACCATACTCTGTTATCACGAAGTACATAACCAAGTAATTCCATAGGGTGTGAGAAATAGGGATAAGATCATACGTGCAAAGGTGTTAATACAAAACGACAACGCCAGCTGAACTACAGTAGGTATAATATGCGCATGCTTGTACGACTTCCTCCATAAAACGCAAATTTACAATTAACACTACGGCAAACAGTTCAAGTATTTACATAAGCACTTAGCGCTCCGCAGTAATGCACGGTATGATCTACTTTTTCTAGAACGGTGGGAAACACCGTATAAATGCAGTGCGTATACGCACACTCCATATGCATTTGTACAATGCTCCGGTGATAAACGAACAAATTTAATTTTCAGTAATAAAAAATAATATTCTTAGTTTCCGCCTGTATTTTACGTTAGACCAATGGTTAGGTGGCTAACTGAGAGTACCGACTGGCTGAAAGGTTGAAAAAAGAGAACCAAAAGAAATCGCAGGAGTGACGTCATCGTGTCGTGACTCGTGACACGTGCGCGTGAGGTTTAATTAGTATTACA